GAGCTCCACAGAAGGCCCCAGTGGGGGGGTTCGCATGCGGTTCCCCCCCAGGCAGCGTTTTCGTGCCCCACAGGGAGCTCCACCGAAGGCCCCAGTGGGGTGAGGTTCGCAATTGCGGTTCCCCCCCAGGCAGCGTTTTTCGTAGCCCCATAGGGAGGCTCCCCGAAGGCCCCAGTGGGGTGTTCGCAATGCGGTTCCCCACCCAGGCAGGGCTTCGTGGCCCCATAGGGAGCTCCACCGAAGGCCCCAGTGGGGAGTTCGCATGCTGCGGTTCCCCCACCCAGGCAGCGCTTCGTACCCCATAGGGAGCTCCACCGAAGGCCCCAGTGGGGGTGTTCGCATGCGGTTCCCCCACCCAGGGCAGCGTTTCGTAGCCCCATAGGGAGCTCCACCGAAGGCCCCAGTGGGGGTGTTCGCATGCGGTTCCCCAACCCAGGGCAGCGCTTCGTGGCCCCATAGGGAGCTCCACCGAAGGCCCCAGTGGGGGTGTTCGCATGCGGTTCCCCCACCCAGGGCAGCGTTTCGTAGCCCCATAGGGAGCTCCACCGAAGGCCCCAGTGGGGGTGTTCGTAGCGGTTCCCCCACCCAGGGCAGCGTTTCGTGGCCCCATAGGGAGCTCCACCGAAGGCCCCAGTGGGGGTGTTCGCATGCGGTTCCCCCACCCAGGGCAGCGTTTCGTAGCCCCATAGGGAGGTCCACCGAAGGCCCCAGTGGGGGTGTTCGCATGCGGTTCCCCCACCCAGGGCAGCGTTTCGTGGCCCCATAGGGAGCTCCACCGAAGGCCCCAGTTGGGGTGTTCGCATGCGGTTCCCCCACCCAGGGCAGCGTTTCGTGGCCCCATAGGGAGCTCCACCTGAGAAGAAGCTCCACCTGAAGGCCCCATTGGGGTGTGTTCGCTTGCGGTTCCCCCCCCAGGGCAGCGTTTCGTAGCCCCATAGGGAGGTCCACCGAAGGCCCAATTGGGGGTGTTCGCATGCGGTTCCCCCACCCAGGGCAGCGTTTCGTGGCCCCATAGGGAGCTCCACCGAAGGCCCCAGTGGGGGTGTTCGCATGCGGTTCCCCCACCCAGGGCAGCGTTTCGTAGCCCCATAGGGAGCTCCACCGAAGGCCCCAGTGGGGGTGTTCGCATGCGGTTCCCCCACCCAGGGCAGCGCTTCGTGGCCCCATAGGGAGCTCCACCGAAGGCCCCAGTGGGGGTGTTCGCATGCGGTTCCCCCACCCAGGGCAGCGTTTCGTAGCCCCATAGGGAGCTCCACCGAAGGCCCCAGTGGGGGTGTTCGCATGCGGTTCCCCCACCCAGGGCAGTGGCCCCATAGGGAGCTCCACCGAGCGCTTCGCATGCGGTTCCCCCGCCCAGGGCAGCGTTTCGTGGCCCCATAGGGAGCTCCACCGAAGGCCCCAGTGGGGGTGTTCGCATGGTTCCCCCACCCAGGGCAGCGTTTCGTGGCCCATAGGGAGCTCCACCGAAGGCCCCAGTGGCGTGTTCGCATGCGGTTCCCCCACCCAGGGCAGCGTTTCGTAGCCCCATAGGGAGCTCCACCGAAGGCCCGCCCCGGTGGCGCAGTCCGCATGCGGCTCCCCCATCCACGGCAGCGCTTCGTGGCCCCATAGGGAGCCCCACCGAAAGCGGCACCCACAACGCGTTACCAACAATTGCTTATGGTTGGGTCTTTCGCCAGGATAATTTTGAAGATGCCCCTAGCGAAATCATTATTTTCAGCAACCTTAAGGGCGTTCTTGGAGCCATGTTGTGGCCTTCTCTTGCTTCCTGATGCCCTCTTAAAATCATTACGATGCGATGTCACACGCATCAATTTGTTGAGGATGTCCCTAGCGAAATCGACATGTGTTGAAGGCTGCCTTGGGCCGTCTGGAAGCCTTTTCAGAAGCAAAATCAAAACTATGTAAGAACAACAGTTTTCAAGTCGATGCTGGTGTATGGTTTCACTTTGTGAGGATGTCCCTAGCGAAATCGCTATTTTCGGAAGTCTCCCCATCGTTCTGACAGCCATCTTGACGTGCTTTTTGGCCTCTCATTTCCTCATCTTGAGGCACTTCGAGAACGATACCAAGACGACGTTGAGGACATCTCATTCTGTTGAGGATGTCCCTAGCGAAATGCAAATTTACTGCCGTGCTCTTCGTTCTGGTCCGCCGTGCTGCCGCTCGTTGTCTGAGGATGTCCCTAGCGAAATCGCAATTCTTAACATAAGAGTTGATTAAAGACTTCAGTCGTCATCTCATTTGTTCGAGGATGTCCCGAGCGAAACGCAATTTTTCACAGACGGCGACATTTCGCTGTCATCAACTGTTCGAGGATGTCTCGAGCGAAACGCTTGTTTTTGTTAAGCGCGATGTCGCGAAGATATCATTTTTGTGAGGATGTCTCACGTAAAATCGCCATCCCGAGGAATCCGCTAAGCCTGGTACACCGTGCGGCCCGCCACCCCCTATAGTTAAAAGATCTCTTACTGATATGAGGAGGATTCAGCCAAAACGTCCAGCTCGCTTCTCGTTCCTCGAAGACGCTTCCCGTCATCCGCCGACCCTGTCGGCGTGTGCGAGGGGCTTCTCCGTTCGACTCGTCGTCTCCGTCGTCTCCGTTCTCCCCCTCCCAGGGCTCTCCTCCTCAAGCGCGCTATCCAAAGCGAAATTAAACGACGTCGTAGTGGAGTCGAAGGGAAGCCCCTTCCCTTTGATCCTTTCCCCGCAGGGGGGGGGGGGGGGGGGAGGGGGGGGGAGGGGGGGGGGGGGTAGTGGGGGGGGGGGGCGGGGCAGATACACGCCCGCCGGGCGCACTTTCCTCGAGCGGGCACGCACGGGATGCACTTCCTCCTCCTCCTCCTCCTCCTCCTCCTCCTCCTCTCCTCCTGCTCCACTCCTCCTCCTCCTCCTCCTCCTCCTCCTCCTCCTCCTCCTCCTCCTCCTCCTCCTCCTCCCGCAGAGGCGTCCCGGGAGCGGGCCCCGAGTCAAAATACCACCCCCTTAGGGCGCATTTTCCTCGAGCGGGCACGCCCGAAATGCACTGCTTCCTCTGCCGGGAGCACGTCTCAAGTCAGAATATCACATTCCCGGGGCGCACTTTCTTCGAGCGGGCACACAAAGGATGCACTTCCTCCTCCTCCTCCTCCTCCTCCTCCTCCTCCTCCTCTTCCTCCTCCTCCTCCTCCTCCTCCTGCTCCTCCTCCTTCTCCTCCTCCTCCTCCTCCTCATCCTCATCCTCCGCTCCCTCCCCCGATTCCTAGCCCTTTCGATCAGGGCCGGCGGCACCGGCCGTCGGGCCTCTCCAATAAAATTATCCCAGTGCGACCCTACCTAGGAGTTGGAACTCCGAGGAAAGCAGCATTAGTAGTAACAGTAACGCTAAGCTAAAGCTAAGCTAAAGCTAAGCTACAGCTAAGCTAAAGCTAAGCCACAACTAAGCTAACTTTAAGCTAAAGCTAAGCTAAAACAAAGATAAAGCTAAGCTAAAGCTAAGCTAAAGCTAAGCTAAAGCTAAGCTAAAGCTGAGCAACAGCTAAGCTAAAGCTAAGCTACAGCTAAGCTAAAGCTAAGCTAAAGCTAAGCTAAAGCTAAGCTGAAGCTAAGCTAAAGCTAAGCTACAGCTAAGCTACAGCTAAGCTACAGCTAAGCTCAAGCTAAGCTAAAGCTAAGCTAAACGCTAAGCTAAACGCTAAGCGAAAAACTAAGCAAAACGCTAAGCTAAAGCTAAGCTACAGCTAAGCTAAAGCTAAGCTAAAGCTAAGCTAAAGCTAAAGCTAAAGCTAAAACTCCCAGGGGACAGGGGGGAACCGCTCCCAGGGGACCGGGGGAACCGCCCGGGGCGCTTTCCACTGCCCGGCCCCTTTAAGCTAAGAGAGTAAGAACCCTTCTAGGCAGAGCCTAGGTAGGGAAAATACCCCCCAAATATCCCTCAAAGGTGAAAAAATACTAACACAATAATCCCCAGACTATTTTTGGACTATTGTTTGCTTACTTGTTTAGCGCATGTTTTAAATTTTTCGTCGAAAATCCCACTGTAGGCGGACAGGCCCGACTGAACCCGAGGGACCTGCGCGCCGTACTGAGGTACTTTTCACGCCGTTCGGCGCCTCAGGCGCTGAAAGGCCCATCGCTCGGAGCTCAACCAGACGCAACAAAAAGCCGCGGCAGGAGGACCCGCCCCTCCCGTGTTGACGGCGGCCAGGGAGTCTGAGCTGGCTGGGCCCCGAGATCCTCGGGCAAGCTGGCGGAGATGAAGGCACACCCGCACAGAAGCGGCCCGCCAGACCCCTCACGGGGCCCATCCGGCGCAGCTCTCCACCCGGGGTCCGTTTTTGACGTTTCCAGGGCCCGACGAGGGCCCCCAGGCTTAGTGCTGGGATGACCGTGGGGGTTCCTAAGTGGATAGGGGGGCTACACGTGGGTGCCAAGGTGGGGTATATCTGGCCCAACCTGGCTTGTAAGTGGGTTACAAGTGCCCTAAGTAGCTTAGGAGGGGTCGATAACTCGGCTAAGTGGGCCGAGCCCACCTAGCCCAGATCGTTAACCCCCCTTAGCTACTTAGGGCACTTGTAACCCACTTATAGGCCAGGTTGGGCCATATATAACCCACCTTGGCATCCACTCGTAACCCCCCTATCCACTTAGGACCCCCCACGGTCATCCCAGTGGGCCCTGGAAGCGACAGGGCTGTTTTTTTACCGGTTCCGTTTTACCGTTTTTTTACCGGTTCCTGCGCCGTTTTTTACCGATTCCGTCGCCGTTTTTTTACCGGTTCCGGCTCCGGTTCCAATCCTGGAGCCGTCTTTTGGCCGTTTCTGGTCGCCGTTTTTTTGCCGTTTCCATTTTCAATGGACATTTTCCTGGAAACGTTGAAAAAAACGGCCCTGCCGTTTCCGGGGCCAACCAAGCCCCCAAGGGCAGAGCCCCGAGCCCAGCACCTCGAGCCTGCTGGCCGGAACCAGAGCCTGGGCCACCTCGGACCCCCCGCCGACTCTGACCCCCACGGCACACGGGGCCTCCTTGAAGTGCTCGGGGCCCTCGGCGACCTCTGGAAGCAGAGGGAACGGCACACGCGCCAACTGTTGGCGCTCCGAAGCGGATCCCTTGGATCCGTGCGGGACCCCCCCCCCCCCTCCCCAGCGCGCGCGGAGCACGCCCGGGGCGGCGCAGGGGGCCCCGGCGCGGATCCAGGAAAGCCGCGCCGAGCGACAACAGTCTGTGTCTGCACCGCTTCCTCTCCTCCGAGTCCTCGGCCACCAGCCTCGACAGGCGCGCGTCCCCGCTGGCGCCCGCCGCCCGCCGCAGCGCCTGCAGCGCGCCCAGCTGCCGCCCGGCGCGCGCAGCGCCGGCGCCGGCGCCCGCGCGGGCGACCTGCCGGGAGCGGCGGCGGAGGGGGCCCAGGACGAGGAGAGGGGCAGGCCGGGAGCGCTCGCGCCACAGCAGACGCCCGATCCCTTCCTCCCAGCCCTGGGCATGGCGCTGAGCGGGCCCTGTCCGCGGCCGCGTGCCATGGAGCCGGCCTGGGCCTCCACTGTCCCAGCAGAGCACCCGAAGAGCGGCGAAGGCGACCCGTGGGACCTGTGGGGCGGGCGGGGAGTGTGGGACTTGTGCGATCTGCGGGGCCCGTGGAACCTCTGGGACTTCAGTGGATCCTGCAAGGCAGGTCAAAACTGAACTGTGGACCTGTGGGACCCGCGGGACTTGTGAGACCTGTGCGGCCTGGGGGACCTCTGAGACCTACGACACCTGTGGGACCCGTGGGACTTGTGCGAACTGCGGGTCCCACGTGACCTGTGAGGCCTTTGGGACTGGCGGGACCTGCTGGACCTGTGGGACCTCCGTGGGAAATGTGGCACATGCGGCACCGGTGGGACCCATAGAAGCAGACCTGTGGTACCTGCGGTATACCTTTGTGGCGACCTGCGACGCCCGAGGATCATGTGGGACCTGGGCGACATGTGCGGCCCGCGAGGCCTGCAACACCTGTGGGCCTTGCGAGGCCTGTGGGATAAAACACACACTGTGGGACAAAAGCACACACAAAACACACACTGTGTGTGTTTTGTGTGTGTGTTTTTTTTCCCACAGACTGTGTGTGTGCTTTTCCCACAGTGTGTGTGTGTGTGTTGTGTGTGTTTTCTCACAGACGAGTGGCTCACGCTGAGGCGCGTGGGCGCCATTCTGAGCGACGGGAGTGCAACGCCGATCCGAAGATGAGGCCCACGCTGCAGCGGGAGCACTGTCTGGACAGTACCGACAACAATCGGACTGTACCAGTGATACTATTGCTTGTGATAGTGACTACCTACCAGAACACCCCAACCCAACCCGAAGACCGAAATTCCGCCCGAATTCCGGGTTGGGGGGGGGCACGGGCTTCATATGTGTTGTTGTCCATGTTCCCCGACCCCCCCCCTGGAGATGGACGGCAAATCGAGGCCTTCGGGTTGGGTTGGGGTTGTTTGGTGGGCGGTGAGATAGCACAATAGATGCGGAGGCGGCAGGACCACGCCCCCGACAACTCCAAGGGAGAGGGGACTGAGTAAGAGTTCAGAGGAGGAAGAGGAGGAGGAGGAGGAGGAGGAGGAGGAGAAAGCCCTCCCTCCAAGCTCCCTTTTCACAGGCCCCTGCAGGAATGGACTATACCTGCAGAATGACACACTGGAACGTATGTGGCTGAAAATCTTGAATTGAACCATAACACGGGTCGTGGGACTTCAGCGACGCGAATCAACGTGACTTATGCGTCCCAACAATCCGAAAGAATGCCAGAACACTATCCCTGGGATTTCAGCACTGCGAATCAACCTGACTGCTGCGTCCTGGCAATCCTGAGTCGCACCAGGACGCCGTCCTGGAATTCGACAATAGGAATCCTTGAAACTGTACACAGTTAGAGCGAATGCGCGCGGCGCTGAGGCGACAACCACAATTTGAAACAGAGCCGCCCCCCAACCGAGAAACCGCTGCAGACTTTGGAAGCGAATGCGCGCGGCGCCAAGGCGAGAGCCACGTGATTAAAAAAACGAGCCGCCAACCACCCGTGAAAAGCTGCTGCCGCTGCTGGAGACGAGCGTGCGCGGCACGGACGCGAGAGCAGCAGCTCGAAGACCACCCGCCCTCCACCCGCGCAGCTGCGGCAACTTCTGCCACGAGTGCGCGCGGCGCGGAGCGTTGCGGCACAGACCACCACTCGAAAACGATCCGCCCTGCAGTCGTGAAGCGGTCGCGAATTCATGCTAGAAAATCATGCCCTGGCAAGGAATCTCAGGCGAAACGCCCGGCCCACCCCACCGTCACGTCTAGGGGTCTGTGGGTGCGACAGGAGTGAATAGTTTACCAGGGCAAGCAGTGGTGGAGGAGAGAGGAGGGACGAGGATCGCGGAGGGGGAGGAGGCGGATCGATGAGGAGGAGGGCCGAGGATCGTGGAGGATCGCGGAGAAGTGGGAGGGCAGAGGATCGAGGGAGGGAGGAGGATGGGGGAGGGGGGCAGGAGGGTCGAGTCTCGGGGGGGAGGGACCGAGGCTCGAGGAAGCTCGAGGAGGCCCGAGGGCCGGGGAGGACCCCGCCGGGGAGGGCCGCGGGGGAGCGGCGCGGCGGCAGCGTCGGAGGACCGCCCCCGGCAGCACGCACGCTCCCTCGCGCCCAGCGCGCGGGGGCGGCGAGCCGAGGCCCAGGCCGAGAGGCCTGCGCGCTCCGTGCCCCCAAAAGAGAGGACAAAGAACTGTGCACATACACCGATTCTGGCCAGGCCCATCCTGAGCCCAGGGTCGGTGCATACGCCCTCCTGCCTTGGCCAGGAAGGCATGTGCACCGATCCTGGGTCAGGGATGGGCCCTGCCAGGATCGGTGCACGTGCACAGTTCTCTTCGCCCGACCAAAGCCCCGGGGGGCGTGCGCGGGTCCTGGTCGTGGGTCTGGCATGCAGTTGAAGAGGGACCGACCGTCCCAGCATTCCTGTCGGGGAGACGTGAGACCCGGGAAACGGGGGACTCGGGTTGGCCCGACGGGGGCCAGCATAAAAATGGCGAGACCCGATCTGAAACTTGACGCGGACTCCCGCTGCAGAGACATCCCACGAAAACGGAACCGTCAAAATCCAGGACGCGCCCGTCTAAAAAAGTCGGCAAACCCGAGATCCGGCTTACTCGAGTCTTACGTTTCCCCGATCCTGTAGTCATACCACGAAGTATTCACAGAACCCCAAAATGTTCTGAGAACAAGAACACTGTTCTTAGAACATAACCCGATGTGTTAAAACAAGACAGTCCCGGCCAGAAATGTTCTAAGAACACTTCGTGGGAACCGCAAAAGGTTCTTAGAACATTGTTTGGTGGGACTATAAGCGAGCGGGGACGCTTCGCCACTGCTTGATGCAGAGTGCCCTCCCCAGGGGGGCGTGGCTTGTGCATACCGAAAGTGGCCCCGGGCGGTGGAGTCTGACTTGGGCGGGAAGGGTGTGCCCAGAACAGACAGAACCGTGCCTGGGGTGGCACATGTGGCTGTTGCACGCACTGCCGCCTGCAGAAGGCAGTCGCCCGGCTCGCAGCGGCGTGGTCTGAAGCAGCCTGGAAGAATTACACACATACCTATACGACCACCCTTCGGGTAGTAAGGTCGTGGGTGGGGGGGCAGAGGGGGGGAACCAACATCTGATTCAATCGATCTCACTATCGATCTCACTCAACAGGACACCTCGGGACACCACGGGACACCACATCGATGTCGCTATCGATCTCATTATCGATCTCACGATCGATCTCACTATCAATGTCACGATCGATCTCTCACTATAGATCTCACTATCGATCTCACTATCGATCTCATTATCGATCTCACTATCGATCTCACTATCGATCTCACTGTCGATCTCACCACGGGGCACCACGGGACAACGATGGGACACCAGCGGGACGCCAGAGGGACAACAGCGGGACACCGCGCGCCACTGGTTGCTGGGCGGAGAACCTTTTGGTCTGGCCGCGGCCCAGACACGACGGGACACCGGCGGGACACCAGCGGGACACCAGCGGGACACCGGCGGGACACCGCGCGCCAACGGTTGCTGGGCGGAGAACCTTTTGGTCCAGCCGCGGCCCAGCCACAAGAGAATTCCCTCCCCCGCCCACGCAGCGTCGCCTCGCCCGCACGCACGGCACGAACGCGAAACCGACATCGGTTTCCCGGTAGGGGGGCTCTCCGTTCCACTTCGACCTCTCACCCCCCCAGCCTCCGACGACAGCATGGACCCTGACATGTTCTCGGCCAGAGGGGAGGAGGGGGAAGGGGGCCGCCCCTCGGGAGCTGGCGGCGCGCCCTCGCGGCGGCCGGGGCCCAGCGCCCCGCGGAGGCTCCGGGAGGCGCCGGGCCCGGCCAGCTCGCGTCGGATCTCCTCTCGGAGGAGGAGGAGTGGGGGGAGGAGGAGGAGGAGGAGGAGGAGGAGGAGGAGGAGGAGGAGGAGGAGGAGGAGGAGGAGGAGGAGGAGGAGGAGGAGGAGGAGGAGGAGGAGGAGGGGAAGGAGGAGGAGGAGGAGGAGGAGGAGGAGGAGGAGAGGTGCGAGGAGGGGGAGAAGGAGGAGGAGGAGGCGGAGGAGGAGGAGGAGGGGAGGGGGAGGGGGAGGGGGAGGAGGAGGGGAGGAGGAGAGGAGGAGGAGGAGGAGGAGGAGGAGGAGGAGGAGGAGGAGGAGGTTGAGGAGGAGGAGGAGGAGGAGGAGGAGGGGGAGGAGGGGGGGAGGAGGGGGAGAGGGGGGAGGAGGTGCGAGGAGGGGGAGGAGGAGGAGGAGGAGGAGGAGGCGGAGGAGGAGGAGGAGGGGGAGGGGGAGGGGGAGGAGGAGGAGGTGCGAGGAGGGGGGAGGGTGTGGTGTGCGGAGGAGAGCAGCGGCCGCAGGAGGGGCGCGCGCCGCGCCCAGGCCCTGCGCCGGCGGGGCCGAGGCCAACGGCTCGGGAGCACTCGCCGGGCAGAGCTGCCCGTCGGCCCGCCGGCGTTCCGCGCAGGGGGTCACAGCGTCGGGCATGTAGAGCGCTGCGGAGAGGCCGAAGTAATGCGGGATGACGATTAATAAAAAATTTGAGAGGACGATTGAAAAAACAGTTGTCTGCTATTGCTGCATAGCTCTCTGACTGGAGGAGAGCGATTTAAAACATAGTTTTCCAGCCCGCGGCCGGTTCTTTCTAATCGTCATCCCGGGCGCCGCCGCGTGAACACGACCCCTGGTCATTTACTAATCGTCGTCCTCCATTCCGGCCGGACCTGGGGCCGAAGAGCATCCTTCTGGAGCAGGAGGCCCTCCCCCGGCCAAGCTGGAGAGCACTCGAGGGTACCCTCCCCCAGGATGGCACAGTGACGTCGAGCAGGCACGAAGAGCATCAGG